AATTAAACTTATGTTTGAAATTTAAGTTTTTATAATTAATTTTACCGTTACAAAATAATATTTTCTTATAATGACAGTTTATTTAGAACTTGATTTCTAAATATTTTAAAAAATGAAAATAAAGCATAGGTTATTTAGATCACAATTCATAGAGCAGGTGGAAAGGTGATTACTCTTCCACACACACCCGACCTGAAAGCAACTCCCTTTGTGCCCTGTTCCGCCTTCCCCGAATAATCCCTAATTCCCCCATTTTTTTTTTTCTTAAAGCGTAGGTTATTTGTTCAAATATTGTTTCTGTTTTGGGCCAATTAGCATCAACATGGTCAAACTGAAAAAAAGTTGCTGACCATGAAAATACTCAGAAACCGTTGAAGAAACACATCAACATCCATGAATGTGGTCTCCAATCTTAAATAGTCCGAATTAATCAACCCAATATTCAACATTGTCGTGACATTTTTCTATGAAAACATTTTCGTGACATTGAGAAGGTAACTTGACATGCACGACGGAATCATCATTTTAATAACTTGATTGGCAGGAATTATTTTGTAATGGAAAAGAAGACATTTTGAACGAGAGATTTCTTTGTTCCAACTAATATGCTATTAAAGGTCACCTCCAGGGTCCCAGCCAAAAAAACATGGGAGTCTAGGTTAAGTTGGAAGTCTTAAATGCAAATATTAAGACTAATGATAAGAAATTTCAAAGAAAAGGGAGAAATTTGAGAAATAAAATGTTATTTTTTTTGTTATATAATTTGTTAATTAAATGTAAAAAAAAAAATTAATGAGTTATACTTCACTTAACTTTTATAAAATTAAAACTCGAGATATAAGAAGATGAGAGTTCTAATTGATTCAATTTTTAAAAGGATTTTATTTGTTATAAATGTTGAAATAACATCAAATTCAATTCTTGAAATAAGTTGGGCTGAAACTTATTATTAATTTAATAACTCGAATTAAGATTTATGAGATTTTAAAATCTTAAATTCAAATTATTAATAATAGTTAATCTCTACATTTATATAACACTCATAATTGTACTCTTTTTTTGTTGTAGGATTGAGACACTAAAAAGGGCTTTTATCATTTTTTTTAAAATTTATTTCGAACTTCTATAAGATTAAAAAAAAAAATGGAGCTACAAACATGTAATTTATGGAGTAGAGGTTTTTTTTTTTTTTTTTTTTTTGTGTTAAACTCCTAAATTTGATATACTTTATTTATTTTAAAATATTTATAATTATTTTATATAAATTCATAATTCTAACACTTTTCGCAAACATTTTACTCAAATAGCACTTTCATACAGAAATCTAAAACTAGGCAAATAGGATTGGGTAAGTTCAACTATAGGGTAAAAGCTCTCATAGGATTGGGTGGATATAGGAAATAATCAAGGTGATGATGTCTACAAACTTAGACTTAGTGATATCAGATGAGTATTTCTCTTCTCTCTCTCTCTCTCTCTCTCATTTGTGATGTTAAATTCAAATTTTCTTCCTAAAAAAAACAAAAAAAAAAAAACTCGTACTAGGTACTCCTACTGCCGAAAGGCCCAAACTATAATTGTGCAGCAGGCAATGGGCCCAGAAGAATAGTTTCCCTGGGCTTTGTAGAACATCTGACCTAAGCTTAAATTTATGGGTGAAGATCGGCTGCTTGGACAAGTTTCATGGGCCAAAACTGGAGCCTTTCTCCCCCCGACCCCCTTCTTTTTTTTTTCTTTAAGTGGAGCCGTAAATGCCTTTCTTTCTTACCTTCTTGCGGCTAGGGATTTAAATGAGTCAATTGACCCATAACAGTACAACTTTCCTAAACATTTGAGCTGACATTAAACCAGCAATGAATGTTTTAGGGAAGAAAACATGATATGATTCCCATATAAATTAATTGACTCCTTCTTTTATAATAGAAGAGTCGTTTCTTTATTATTATTTTTTTTTCACAGATTAAGCTAATGTAAACCATTATAGTTTTGTCTATATTAGTAGCATTAAGGAATATATAAAAATTAAGATTTTGATAATAAGGTGGAGAATTAAAATTTAGGGATAATAATATGGTTAAGTTAGAAAAAATATTTATGTATGTTAAAAATTTTAAAATAAAAAAAATACAATTAATTTGAGAAATAGGACAAAATTTTGGTAAAAGAAAAAGGGATTATTATATTATAAATTATGAAAAATTAAAATGTCCTAACAATTAAAATAGCAAGACTTCCTATAAAATTGTTTTGATACTTTTAATGAATAAACATATATACAAAAAAAAGATTTATTAAGGAAATTAAAATAGTTTCATAAGTAATACTAGCATTTTAAATATCATGATATTCTGATTTTCATTTTTTTTGTTTTATTATTATGGGAGGAGAGAAGTAAGACTATAGTTAACGCAGAGATGGATGGGGAGTTAGTAGTCTCCATCTAATATGTCCTAATTTCAAACTCTCTTGAAATGGTGTCCTGATTTAAGAAAAATTATTGATGATATCCTTAATTGTGAATTACATGCAAGTTCACGTCCTTATCATACACGTTTGCCTAGCTTAAATGAAAGACATCAGATTAAATGTTTCTTAATTGTTCATTCTTTTTCTTTGGGAAGTGGGATTCGATCATGAATACAATATCTCTTTCCTTTGGAGAAGTGGTTTTCTAAGTTCATTTAATTGTGTTTTCTTGGATATAATTATGAGGGCATTAAAGACCCACCACATCTACCTTGCCCCTCCTGGCCCATCTCCCCCATTTTGTTTCTTGAGCTAAGTTTCTGTTGCACAACAAATAAGAAATGGTTTTCTTTTTTTTCTTCTTCTTCTTCTTCTTCTTTCAGTTAAATTATATAAATTTAACAAACACTATTCCAACCGGCCTTAGTAAATTTGACAAACAATTTCTCTAACTAGTGCTATTAGTATATAAATTAAGTTGTAATTAATACAACATTTTACAATTGATTTATATGAAAAAAATGTAAACATTAATTTTGGTTTAATTAATTGATCAATTAAAATAATTTATATATCAATAATATTAAAATAAATATCAATTTTTTTATAAATTTTTATATAAATTAATTACAAAATAATATATTTATTGCATGTTTTAATCTTTAAAGGCACGTATTACACAAATCTTTTAACAAATACTATAAGCAAATAGGGAGTTCTTGCTTGAGGTATTTATAGAGGGCTTGTTATGGCGTTTAAGTATTTAGGGGTGATCTAGTATAAAAGTTTAAAATTAACAATTGATAGTTTCGTATAAGTTAACAAATAAAAATATTTAAATTAATAATTATCAATTACTTAATTAAATAAAATTATTAATATTTAATCTATTATACCAAATACTCCCTTAATAATCAAAAAGTGAACACTAGCGCTAACCATTTGAGCTCCCTCTACTAAAAAAGGAAGAAGAAAAGGATGACAAACAATTTTCCATGGGTGTTGCCTTCCCCAATCATGATGGGTGCTTCTAAATCAAATATCATCAACCATCCACAACAATGGTGCTGCCACTATAACCCCACTTAAAGTCAACCCCACTTGCTCAAGCAATGGTTTTACAAATGAACTCCATATATACATGAAACATCCGCTCCAATCTAAAATCATGGTCTTGAACCACTTTGTCGATCGCAAATAAATCTTCTTTTTATTTTTCTAATTTTATCCGATATCTTAAAAATAAAAATAAAATGAAGTAGCTAAACATTGTAACCTTGTGAGCTAATAACACCAACCTCACGTTGAAATTCTTCTACCCTTTTAAAGTTCAACAAAAGCGGGTTTAAATTTCTAAATTAAGTACAACAAACTCAATAATTTTCGGGTTTTCTACTTAGAGATCCCAAAAATCGAAAGAAAGCCACTCCTTTGATGAGGATCCTATGTTTTTGGCTATGAGTGAGACATTCGTTTGGACTTTGGAGAGTAGTATAGAAAAATTTTAAATTTAAAAATGGTTAAAAGAAAGTTTTTATTATACAATTTTTTATATTATCTTATATATTATTTAATGATTGATTTTTTTTCATTTTATTAAAACTCATGATATTATAATCATCAATTCATTTAATAACAGTTAAAATGTTTACAAATAAAAGTTATACAAATAAATTACCTAAATATCATTAATCTTTTCAATTAAAGAAAATGATTGGTATACACTCAGTTCAATATATTTTTTGACATATTTTTGATTTAATCATTAAAAATATAATGTAACTATAGTTGATTTAATCTGTTCTTACATTTTGTATGCATGATTGTATGTTTAAACTTATATGTTTTTAATTTCAGATCAAAAAATAATGATTTTTGAATGAAAATGTTATGTAGTATGTTGAACTAAGTGTGTACCTATCATTGTTTTTAAATTAATTAATTAATTAATGTTATTATCCCCACTAAAGCTATTCTTTTTTCTTTTTTTTTTTTGTTTGGTACATCCCACTAAACCTGTTCATACTTTGTTCACAGTCTCTCTCAAAAGTCAAACCTTTTATATTAAAATCCTTACTAATTCTTTTTGGTATAAAAAAAATCCCTAATTAATTTAATTATGAACGCTTGATATCTGTTTTCAAAGTTCCCAGCTATTACCTCTGTGTTTGTTGCATACTAACCAAATTTTCTTCAGGCAGATTTGCTAAAATCTCGCATCCGCGACATGCCGTGCCGTCACTGCTACTTTACCTTGATATATTTCTTGAATCTTGATGCAATCACAATAAATTAATAATGAAAATTAACACGAAACAGTGATTTATTTGCATGATTGAACATGCAATATTCCTTAGAACATAAATTTATAAAAAAAAAAAAAAAAAGTGATTCTTAATATGGTTTTATCTCGATTTTGAACGAGCATATATAGAATTAATCATACAAATAATTCCAAGTAATAATACACTTTGTTTCTGGCCTTATTTTTTTTTCCCTTTTTTTTTGGAGGAATAAACAAGTGATTACAGGTTACAACAAAAACAAAAATACAAGATCATACAAGTAAAAAGAAAAAGAAAATTAAAATCCCCAAATCAATGGTGCAATGGGTTTGGACCGGTGGGAACGAGCCGCTTGTCGACCCCATAACGTGGGTCGATTTGGGTTCCGTCAGCAGGTTCAGGCTGCACGGGAGTGTGTCTGCGGTGGTGGTGGTGCCTTTGGTGGTGTTTCGTGTGGTGGAGAAACCGCCGGAAGTCGAATTTGGCACCGGTTAAGACCTTGCGGTTGGTGACCATGCGATGAGGAACAGAAGTGCGGCCGTGGGAGGGGATGAAGGAGCTGTACTCAAATGCAAAGAATAAAAGTAAAACAGAGAGCCAAAGAGTAAGACCCAAAAGTGGCAGAGTTCTCATGGCTGGAGCAGGGGAAATTGCAGGGGAGAGATCATTGCAGGGTAGATAAAAAGATTGACAGCTCGAAAAAGAGAAGCACAAGAAAGGGTCATGGAGGAAGGCTTGCTTTCATGAGACTCAGCTGAGAGGATGGAGATTTTTGAGTAGGTTTTTATGGGAAATTTTTAAAAGGGATGGGGTGTAGGGCGGAGATGCGGAGGGGAGGGATCAGTAGAAATGTGGAGCATTCTGTTTCTTGTTCCCATGAAATGGAACTTGCTTTGCGTTCAAGCAAGAGAGGAGGGGAGGGCCATTAAAAGCACATATTGTCAAAGATGGAATTATATATTGGGATGACCATATATACTGCCACAGCATCAAAGTCTGAGCACTCATAAGCTCACGGCACTAGATTTCCTAGCTAAGTCCTTACAC